TAATACCCAGACCCCAAAAAAAACTCGAGATAACATTTTTGTGATTTTTCGGTCAACTGAGGCCCTTAACATTTTTTCTGCAGGGATACAGTCAAAACCAGTTAAAATGAGCCAAAATCGGCTAGGCCAAGGCGAACCGCCACCGTGGGGGACGGAGCCGGCATCGGATCACAGTGGCGCCGCAGTTTCGGAACTCCAGAATTGGCCATAATAAGTTTTGGACACCGATTTTAGATTTTTAAGGTATTTTTAAATATGTGACGAATGTTTTGAATTTAACATGAAAAATTCAAGAAATTCGGTACCCGTTAGGAGGTGTAGTAGACAGTTCGACATCTCGAAACACCAATCCGGGTAAGGATCCCTCGCCCTATTCTCCGTTACGGTAAATTGAGGCTTAATATTGTATAATTTTATATTTTTGTAAAAAATTAAAAATCCTAAAAATAATTACAGATTACTAGTGGAGCTGGAATCGATTAGTTCACAATTGTCTTGATTTTTTGTTTATTTTCTGTATTGTCCTACTTATTTAATTTTTGTATAGTACATGTTCTTAATTTATAGTTCAATAGTCTTATCAACTTATTTGGTTATCTTGATTATATACCATTAGCATGAATGTAGTTTAATTGATATATGAATGTGATATGAGATATTGGTATAAGTTTGTTGGTTGTTTGTTGACGAAAATATGTATGTGAAAGACTTGTTGGTTACTAAAGAAATGGTGGACGGGCTCGGTACATAGAAAAATTTACCGTGAACATTACATTGGTCGGACAGGGCTGGAAAGTTCCTTATTGAAAAGGTTTGGGAGATATAGTTCACCCTCATACCAGATGGAGTATCGAGACGATGGAATATTTGACGTCCATTACCGGACGGGGTATGGGGGCGGCCAGTTAATTGTAAAATTGGATATTAGGTTCACGAGTATGGTGGACACCCCTATGAACCCCTAGGGGTACTAGCAAGCAAGTAAGAAAGAAGAGTTATTATTTTTCATTCTTTTATGTGTGAAAGTGAAAAGTGACATGGATATGGGTGTTCATAGGTTGTCTTTGAAAAACTCATTATGATAAATATTAAACAAATATTTTCAAATTTCAAATGTATTTAAATAAAGCAAGGGCTCTATTAGTTATTTTTTTAATTTTTTTTATCAATCTTCAGTTTTTCGTATTTGTGATTAGTGTGATATTCTTACTAGGTTAGTGTAGATTACTCTTTCATTAACTATTTCAGATCAAGAGAACTAAGATCTAGATCTCGATCAGCAAGAGGGTTGTGAGTAGTTCACTATCCGGACTCCCTTCAAATACTAGTGAATGTTGTTGTAGAATGTTTAATTATTCACTTTTCATTTTATTTCTTTAAAATTTTCGTTTGTCTTTTAGAAGGAACATTCTTATAACCATATTGGACATTCAAAATTATTGTGTAAGGAATATAAATTATAAATCTATTAGTCTCTTTTGTATTTAATTTATGAATTTATTTCCCTTTTAAGTTCTGGGTCTTTACAACCAAGCCATTGAAGTTACCCACATTTCATAAGCTACGAAGTTTGCTTGGAGTCTACACACTTGATAAGTTTTATTAAGTTTAAGTGTTCCAAAACTTTCAGTTTTGTTAGATATATCTACTTAATTTCTTACTTAACCATGTCAATTAGGAGTTTGTTTTCAATGGATATAATTTGCTTTTGATTTTATATGGTCTATAGTAGAGGATTTAATTAGGAGATAATGGATGTAATAAAAGTTAAGCTGTTTAATTAAGATAGTTGACTGTATAAAAAATGTTATAAATATATATATATATATATATAAATGTATAGTTTCCTGAGAAGCCGGAATTCTTAAATTGAGCAAAGCCAATGGTTTTTAATTTTTTATTATTATTAATTTTTATTGGAAGGAATTGCCGACACTTGGCCCATCATTTGTATCACTAAGAAGTAAAGAAGGTGGTGTTGGGGATTTGATTGGAAGATGAAGGAGAAGACAATTTTCTATGACGTTCGCAGAATCATCAATTAGTTGCTTAATGGAAATGGGCATGCACCGTCTTCTTATATTATATATATATATATATATATATATATATAAAACGTGCAATAACACGTGCGATCTACATGTACAATAGATTCTGAAATCCATACCAAGTCAAAGTGGGGGAAATACAAATTGAATATCTTATAGAATGATGCGTGTGTTGAGAGGGGAAGAAATTAATTGATCTTAAATCCTACATTTAGATATATGGACATGCAGGTGCATTGCGTGTGTGTGTGAGTGAGTGTGATAAGGCATCCTTCCATTAATAAGGTTTGGCGGTGGTGGGTGGGTGACAAAATTGATGATGCTGGTTTTATCATTAATAGATTGGTTGGTTATGAAATGAAATCTTAAGGTTTTGGAACATTTGGTGAATTTCATTCATTCATCCATGACAATTTAATCACAACCTTACTTATGCAGACACGTTCGATCACAAACACCTATACAAACCAAAGAATAAGCACCAATTATATATATATATATATATATATATTGTGGTTTCCTTTTCTCCTTCTACCTAAAAACAAGGATTTTCTATTTTAGAATTGGAAAGTCAGAGAGAATCTCTCAACTTTTTCTATTCATGTGGCAGCATCTATATACTGAGAAATAAATACTTTATAATAGGTAGACTTAAATACATAATTAATTAATATGTACAATAAAAGAAATGTTCTTTACAATTATAACATCTAATACAATATTAAGATAGTTCATTCCACTAACTTCTTGACTTTAGTTTTTCTTTTTATAAAATTTTTTAATCCAACTAGGTGGATTATAAATTTTTATAATCTTTTACATTCAATTAGGTTACAAAGTTTTCTATTTTACTAATTAAATTATTCCCGTCTATTTAAACCATTTATTGTTATTATACTCGCACGTATGGCTTAATATATAATAAAATATATATATATATATATGTGTGTGTGGAAGCCACAATTGCACATCATCTTGACTATGGTACTAGCGAAACTTAAAAGAAAATCAAATCTATTCCCTCATAATTCTCTAAACTAATGGCATATGCCCTTGTGAACTCCAAATGTATTGATTTGTGAATCCTAAGAGATTTTGAAATGGTACACCGTATTTATGTTTTTGTCAATTATCGTCATTTCTTCCTTTTCTTTCTATCATCACCTCATATCCCTTACTTAACTTCCTCTCATTTTCTCTTTCTTATCTATTCAAAAGCTTGTGTTTTTTTTTTTTTTTTTCTATATCTCATCATTCTTCATTTACCTCATCATCTTGGTTCTTCGCCTCAAGCGCTCGGTCCTTTTTTTTCCCAAGTAAAAAGATCAAAACTATCATCAACATGTTCACGCAAACCTCTCAAGTCTCAGTTCTATCCACCTTCCTTTTTCCAATCACTGGATTTCCCTTACCTCTTGCCACAAAATGAAAAACTGTTCGCCTCAACTTAGATCTTTGTGAATCTGTCCTTCTTTGATCCATGTCCATTTCTCCTCCAAACAATAAATGCTTCCCTCATCTCTTGTACTTATTCGACCTACGAGAATTTCAATGAAGAGGAAACATAAGAGCAACATAAGTTGGAGATAAAACTTTTCCGTAATGGAGAAAACTTGATTCAAACAATAAGAATATGAAGATTAATTTCGTTTAATAATATTTAGATATATTTATTAATTTTAGATAGTTTATTTATACGATGTCCATAAATATATTAATTTTTTCGATGCCACATTAGAATAACATGATATTTATGTGGCTTTCGTATATTACTTACGTCAGTAAATTTTGAACAACACCGAGCAAAATGTCAGCTACATCAACAATCATATTAACAAAAATAAACTACTCAAATAAGTATGAACAATTCAACAAAGGATAACAGTAAACATAGAGTACACTCTGTTAACTTCAAATTTTTACTACTCAAAATGTTTCTACATCAACAATCATATTAACAAAAATAAACGACTTAAAACGAATGTGAAGAATTCAACAAAATATGACGGTGAATATAGAGTATATTGTATTGATTTTAAATTTTTGCTTCTAAAATTCCACATGATAATAGTGATAACTTAAAAGACAATAGATAAAAACTAAAACTAAATCTAAAAGGTAAATAAAATATTAAAAACATAAGTTGAAGAGAGAGTGAGAGTGATAGATGCATGTGATGATGAGAAAGAAAGAAAAGAATGTAGTGAAGTGGAAAAAGAGATAGCAACCAACCAATGGCAATAGGGAATGTTTTTCCACTTTATCACGTAGATGGGCTCTGACTCCATCTCCACTTTTAGACCAAACCTTGGCGGTTGATTCATTCCATTTAAGCTCCTTTTTTTTCTTCTTTCTCATCTTTTCAAATGAAAAAAAAAAACCCCACTTTTATTATATCATACAATTTTCAGTCCTACTTTTTCCACCATCTCTCCTCAGTCCTCGACATACAGACTGTTTTTGCTTTCTGACATAATCACCACTCACTCAAAAATCTGAATTTCCCCAAGTCCCACTCATTATTTTTTTCTTGGAGAAATTTCTTTCTAGTTTTCTTCTAAAATAAATTTCTTGTGGGTTGGGATCTTATATTATGCACTACTTGAAATGGCATGAACAGAAAAAAGCAACATACTTAGAAAAGTTTATTGAGAGCTTTGTAAGGAAGCATTATTATGAAATATACAGAATCAATTTTTTCACATACTAATATATATTAATAATTGATAAGTGATCAAAGAATATGATTTTTAAAGAAGTTTCTTTCTCACATTCTTTTTTTTAAGCAATTAAATAATTTAGCAATATCATCCCATTACTCTCTCTCTCTCTCTCTCTCTCTCTCTCTCTCTCTCTCTATATATATATATATATATGTATATAAAATTCCAAACATACCCCTTGAGCCTCTTTATATACCACTTGGTATCAGTTTGTTGATTGCTCTATGATCTGCTAAGGAAGTTCTTCGGTTATGATATTCATCCAGATGCTGTGAGTACAACCAACACCCTTTATGTAGGTAAATTTTGTAGCCCTAAATTCTGAGAGAGCTCAACCTCATCTACCTTCATCTCCACCTCTATCCCATTCATCCTTTTCCTTCTGGATTTCTTTATTCCATTCTTTTCTTTTTAATTTTTAACCAATTAATAAAGAGTCCTAATTAATTGACTTTTGCCACAGTCAACTTCTTATATGATATTGACCTCACTACTTTTTTTTTTCCAAAAAAAAGGGCACCATGTAAATGTTCTACATCACCCTTGCTCTACTTTTTTTCTCAACACTTCAAAAAATTAAAATAAAATAAAACGTTGTGGTTTCCACCTTCATTATTTGTTCTTCCCCTCTTTCCACAAACACACATTTCCTTTCTTCAAATACCTCTTGCCACTGAGTTTTGCCTATATTCTCCAACTCAACCATACAATCTACTAAACTTTAAACCCAATAAAAGAAAATTTTGGCATTTCCTTCTGACAGTTCTCTTTGGAACTCATCAAAAACCTAGTCAAACTGTATGGAGTACAATCAAAATTTGAAGTTTATTCATCAATCAGAAAAGAAAAAGAAAGTTTTTAGGCCCCCGAAGTCCTAAAGCCATATGAAACGTGGTGACTATGCAAATGGTATGCACTTTATTTTGATTAGTGGTCATCCTAAACAAAATTCTTATCACAAAATGCTCCAACCCAGTACATGCCAAATCCATCCTGACTGCTTTCTTTCTTGTTCCTGAAACATCACTGTCAACCAGCTTTATGCGCTAATCGAGTTCATCTATCAACTCCTTTCATTGTAATTCAATGCAACTTCTGATTACTATAAACTAAATTGCTTCTTACTAGCTCAATTTTTTAAAATCTTTGTAAGCCTAAGTGGACAAACTAAATATGCTTCCACAAGTGTGGCCAAACAAAACATTCAAAGTTTTACTTGCAGGAATAGAATCAATCACCATAGAATTCTATGCAAACCTTCAACTTGTAACAAACCCCTTCTGTTTACTATTGTGCATAATATTTTATAATATCATATACAAACATGTAAACACATTACATACACACACATGCAGATACGGAGAGGGAGAGAGCTCCTCAACATTGTCTTTTTTTTTTTTTTTCATCTGACAATTTTCTGTTGAATGTCTCTTACAGGAGCAAGAAATACATGATTACAGCAATGATGCTGAAAGGAAAGAAGATGCTGATATTCATACTCCTAGTTACCTATTCTAAGACAATGGCTATGAAGCCTTATCCAAGAACTGGCATGCTGTCTGACAGCAACATCAGTTATTGCTTGAGCTGGAGGTTGGCAGTGGAGGCAAACAATTTACGTGCATGGCGCACGGTCCCATCTCAATGCCTACGCTATATCGAAATCTATATGATTGGGGGACAGTATGACAGGGACATTGGACTGATTGTGGAGCAAATAATGAGTTATGTGAATGAGATAACCCTCTCCAATGATGGCATGGATGCTTGGATTTTTGATGTTGATGACACCTGCATTTCTAATGTGTTTTACTACAGGGGAAAGAGATATGGGTATGTGCAGGTTCTGTCATTCTATCAATTGCATATTTCTGAACTAATCCTTTAGACTGAATAGAGCTAATGGCTGTGCAATTTTTCACTTAGATCAAGAGATTTAGCATCTCATTTATAGAGCTACATATCCAACAGTAATGAAATATGCCAGACTAAACTGAAATTGTTGCGTTTAAGAGGTTGTCATATTTTAACTTAGCTATAGATGAAGTTATCTTTCAAAATTTACAGTAAATTAAAGACATGCTTGTGAACTTGACAAATAGGTGTGACCCATATGATCCAAGTGGTTTTACAGCATGGGCGATGAAAGGAGGGTGTCCAGGAATTCCAGCAGTCCTTGAATTATTCAACATGTTAGTTGAAAGTGGCTTCAAAGTATTCCTTATTACTGGCAGGAACCAAGACACCCTTGGCCAGGCCACCATAGATAATTTGCATAATCAAGGTTTCAGAGGCTATGAGCAGCTGATTATGAGGTATGCCTTTTACTGCATCATTATCTAAAGTCCACTCCACAAACATTGTAATCAAGCTCAATCTTCTATCTTCCCAGAAAGCTAAGACATATTTCAAATTACCCTTTGTTTCCTTTTCAACTCCATGTATCTAGAATATAAACATACATATATGTAATACCCACAGGACAGCAGCCAACAAAGGACAAAGTGCAGTGACCTTCAAGTCAGAGATGAGGAGGCAACTAACAGAAGCAGGGTACAGAATATGGGGAAATGTTGGTGACCAGTGGACTGATCTTCAAGGAGAATGTTCGGGAAATAGAAGTTTTAAGCTCCCTAATCCCATGTATTTCGTCCCTTAAAATAAATTCCATGAAATTACCTTTCCTGTCCAATCACGGTCATGATTCTTTCTATTTGTCCTATGTTGTATGAATCAAATGAAAAATTTTATGTACAAGAAGAACAATTTTATGCCAAAAACAATCTTATGTTGTACTAATCTGTACATTAACCAGGCGGGAGATAAAAAAGTAAACCCAACAATGAAGGCCCAAATAGAAGAAGACCCGTGATTACATATAACTTGCCTGCTTGCCGCTGAAAGTAAACCGGAATCTTCTGGTTCAGGAGTATTTATATACTATTTTACTGCCAAGAATGAAATTCGCTGATGAGACATGATTGAAGAAACAAAATCATTAAACTAAACTAGTAATGCATGAAAGGAAAAATAAATTAATAATGCAGATGACCATGTGACTCACCGACTTCCTCATTCATTCCCCCCTTTGCCTATTTTCAGTGAAGGATTCACGTCTGATCAGTCTCTCTCTATTCCTTCGTTTAACTTCAACACACTTTCACTTTCGCCCGCCTGAAAACGGCGTCGTAGAGTCTCGGGTGGGTGGGGCCTGATTGATCCAGAAACGGCGTCGTGTTGTACAAAGTGGCATTTTGGATTTATTCAACGCCCAAACGGAAATTTCGCACAAAGGACGGGATGTTGCTAGCTTTGGACCTACCTTCCTTACCTGCAAAAACTTACAAAACAGAGAAAAATGAAAAGTGCTTGAGAATAGATATATCCTTTGATTTCAATCGCAGGAAGTGAAATTTGATCGAAGAAAATATAAATCCAGAATCATGAATGACGCAGAGGTCTCCAGTCAGATTCAGCAGATGATCAGATTTATCCGACAAGAGGCCGAGGAGAAAGCCAATGAAATTTCTGTTTCTGCTGAGGAGGTTCCTCTCGTTTCTACGTTCTCTCTTCTCCTCTGTGATATCTCTTACATTTTTTCTTTTTTTATTGATTAAAAAAAAACAGGAATTCAACATCGAGAAATTGCAATTAGTTGAAGCTGAAAAGAAGAAGATCAGGCAAGAGTACGAGCGAAAAGAAAAGCAAGTGGATATTCGTAAGAGAATGTCAGTTGAGTTCCATCGTCTTTTCAATTCTTTTTGTTAGCTTTATTCGCAGTCTCAAAAGATCCTATTTATTTTTTGTCCATGCCAGTGAGTATTCTACGCAACTGAATGCTTCTCGAATAAAATTTCTCCAAGCTCAGGATGATGTGGTGAATTCCATGAAGGAATCTACTGTCAATGAACTTGTGCGCGTTTCTGATGACAAAAAAGCCTACAGGAAAATTATCAAAGCACTGATTGTTCAGGTCTGTAGTTATCTGTATAATTTCTTAATTCCTAATACGCCATTGCACTAATTGCTCATTTCGTTTCTTGATATGTACAGAGTTTATTGCGGCTGAAGGAGCCAGCAGTGTTGCTGCGTTGTAGAGAGGTTGACCGTAAGCTTGTAGATTCCATCCTTGATGAAGCTAAGCGAGAATATGCGGAAAAAGCTAAAGTAATGGCCCCAAAAGTCACCATTGATGGAGTATACCTCCCTCCGGCGCCCAAGGCTTTGGATTCACATGAACCTTACTGGTAATAATATTATTTCTACCAAAGCCTCCCCTGTTTCTTACCAAGCTTAATTCACATTGGCATGAACCATGCCTGGCATTTATGCTATGGTTTTTTTTGTTCTGATTCAAGCTCGGGAGGGGTTGTATTGGCTTCTCAAGATGGGAAGATAGTCTGCGAGAATACTCTAGATGCAAGACTTGATGTGGCTTTCAGACAAAAATTACCTGAGGTAATCACTTCATTCATCATTTTCCATTATAAACTTATAAATTTTATTCATTAATTAATTTTTTTCTAAGAATAACACAAAATTCTAAAGTACCGCACAAGTAACACAAACTAAAAATGATGAAAACATGAAACACATTGAAAAAATGATTGGTCATGTGATTTGCTATTTTACTGTATGGCCTGTTTGCTACTCTCTGATGATTCCTTCAGATCCGAAAGCGTCTCCTTGCAAATGCGAGTGCATGATCTGTCTGGTTGTGGTTAAGAGCGGCAGCAGCTTTCTTCTTTCTTTGCCTGAATGGATGTTTCAATAACTTGTTAATTCCATTTTTATTTCATGGGAATCGGGAATTTAACTCTTCTTTCTTCTCTAATAATTTGACCTTGCCGGTGATAATGGACCACACACACACGTGTGTGTGTGTGTGTGTGTGTGTGTCTGTGTACACACACACATATGGAGGGTGAATGCTGGATGAGTGTTGGTATTGAGCTACTAGCTACTCGGATGCTTTAGGACTTCATATGAATAGGGTCTGTTAAATAGGTTTTTTTCTCTACATCCTTCGAGTTCTGAGAAGACAGGATATCATTTATTTCAAAAAAAAATAAGTTCTGTCACGTGCAAATCCCATATAAAAGAATCAAATTGTTTATATATGTATATTTTTTAAAAATAAATTCACAAATTTTGTATTTATAATTTAGTATCTCTAATATTAAAAACATTTTTAAAAATTTTAGTATATGTAAATTTAACTAATTTGTTTTTTTATTTTTTTATATACTCCGAAGTATTTATAGAGAGGAAATGATGATAGAGTAAGGGTTCATTAAACCTTGCTAACTCACTTAACCGTTAGTTATCCAACCCTCTAAACTGGTGACATTAGAAAGATTTCATAATTCATGTAACTAGACCTTAACTCAAATTGCTAACATAAAAGTAAAAGTTGAAACAACATAAAAGATGAAAGAAAAGATCCTACTAACCCTCTCTGTCTTTTTCATCCTCCTTGCCATCAAGAGGAGTGGTCTTTTTCCTAGATTAAGACTCTTAGCCTTCTCACTCGGTTTAGCACCTAAAACCTTTCATTCCATCTTTACAACCATTCTGATCATCAGTCTTCTCCTTTCTTAGATGCCTCTCGTCCTACAAACATCTACCTCCTCCCTAAAGTCTTTCCTAGAAGCCTTCATGTTGATCCATTTTGTCCAACTTTAGCTTCCTTACCTTGAGAACTTCTATTGTCTTCTGTCATACAGTTCAGCTTTCATAATGGGTTTGTCCCTGATATATCATTCAATCCACTATCACCATTATCTGCATCACCTCTGTCTCCAAAAGCCACCTTGGAAGAAGACATGTTCACTCGATTTTTCACCAGTGGGCTCTGTTAAGCTGTTATTATGGTCAAATCAGCATCCACATCACTCTCTGTGCCTCACAATGCTCCAGTAGATGGAAATGTAGAAACATCATAAGAGCTACCTGGAAAGGCTGCAGTAGGATGAAGAACAAAAGATTACTTGGACAACCCATTCAAAGTGTTTTCATGGAAAATCTTTTACCAATTTTTTAATTCAATCGTTTCTTTTTGTTCACATGAATCAAACAAATTGCAATCTATCATGTATTGCCTCCGCTCTGTAGATTTATCATCATCCAAATAAAGCCGGTTTTAACCCCCAGAATTTTCCACTATATTCCACCAGCAGTCTTTCAACAAAGCATCACACCTTACCCAACTCAAATATGCCAAGACAGAATGCTCTACTCGAACAGGATAACTCCTATTGTTCATTCTAGAAAGCATTTATGAATGCTCATGCAGTCAATATTGTGAAGAGTTAGAAGAGAATTAATACCTTTGAGGCTTCTGCCCATGTTCTGTTCCTCTTTCATGCAACCAGAAAAGGCTCGTCATATAACATACTGGACAACATTTCAAGTTGCAGCAGTTTAGCATTCTATCGACCACTCAATTTTTATAACACGCCAATAAACAGTCAGTATATCTTTTGTATCTGGGTAGCTCCCCTTGGTACGTTTAGATCACATTTTATTTTTGTTTCAACAAAGAAAAGAAAAGAAAAGAAAGATAACTCAGCTCAACAACAGAATCTCAATCTGCCATGCCTCTCTTGCTATATGAAAGATAACAAAAACAACAAGCTGCATAGGCGCGTACAAGCAGACTGGATATAGAAAAATCTTTCAAACAGTTCGAGCATGTCTTACACTTCTTTTATGTCCATAATACATGCTCGACCAGCCATTCAATTGGATATTTTTTAAGGGTTAAGCATGAAACATACCAGCCCAACCTTAGAGCGCATGCACAAGTAATTGGTTGTAAATAGATCAAATTTCAGAAAGCTTTTCAGCACATTATCGGAACAACTATAACTAGAACTTCCATAACCAGAACACAAGTGTCATGGCCATCCAAGAACAAAGAAAAATTGAGGCCGTACAAGTCTAGGACTGCAACATTCTGTGAACTTGGGATTCATACAAAACACTGAAAGAAATTAAATAAGAAAAGGGACCCATTTACACAGCAAAATGAATTTGAATAAAACATTTCAACACTCTCAGCTCCAAAATTATTCAGTCAACCTATCTCGGACAAGTTCAATAATCTTCTCAATGAACTTTCAAGAACTAGTAAGCAACACTAATTCGCATTTACAGAATGGAGGCATGAACATTCTACTTCAGCTAAGAATTCTTAATTTGGAAAAAAAGAAAAATCCTCCTTTAATCAAGCCTTGATCAATAAAATACATATTCATTCTTATCACCAGTTTTTACAATTCACATCTCCTCAATCATATTTATTTATATTACCAGTTTTTACAATTGACATTTGATCAATCAGATTTTACATAAAATCGAATTAGATGCTAGCATTTTGTGCCGTAACGGAGAGAAGAGAAGACTGACAAAAAACAAACAGAATAGCAAAAATTTGATCCAGTCAGGACTATATTACCCACAAAATTTACAAGCTAATCCATTTTTTCTTCTATTTCACCTAGTTACAGCTAGTAAGATTCCTTCCCAACAAAAAAACTATATGTGGTAGACCGGATGAGGAGGTGGGGGGTAGACAGGTAGTCTACAGAATTTCAGAGTAGAATTGTAATCGTTGAAACATGGAGGAACAAAAACATGCAGTGTGGGTCTTGGCCTTATGATTCGAATATTGATCCCGTAGAGACATCCACTGTATAATTGATCTTTGATATGAAACTTGTTCTTAATTCTTGCAAAGCAGTTTGCTGTTAACAAACTATCTGAGCCTGCATGATGAGCCAAGCCTGTTCTTCCCACTTCTAGCAATTCTCCCAGCTTCTCTAGTCCAAGCTCACCACTGAGTAGCTGCTTGCAATCTTTGGTCATAATTTTCAAGTCAAAAACTTTACCAAAGACCTTTCCCATCATGTGAGCAAATCCGAGCAGGGAATTGGGCAAGAACCTTCTTGTTGCCAACTTCAAAAGATACCCAAAATCATATAAGCCGTGAAAACTCACCCACTTCAAATTCCTTTGCCGGCTGAAGATACGAATAAATCCTGCTGTAAACTCATAGAGATCGATTCCATCTGCTCTCATTCTTTCAAAATTTAAACCATTTCCCTTCAAGAATTCGATAGACCTGGTATCACAGGCATCTTTGGCTTCATCAAAATTAGAGAAATTGAACTCCCAAGTACCTCCGATTTTGCCCATTTCATCCGAGAGATTGAGACCCAATTGAAGCATCTTGGTGCTGTCAATGTTGTATTTCATGTCACAGTAACGATCTAATTCAGAAGCAAATCTGGGCGTGGGCCGGAGACAACCTGGAAACTCGACATCTATAGAGACGATCGGATATTCAGTGAGTTGCATGGCCAACCGGTTGAATTCTCTTTCCAAATTGTGAGCCCAAACCTCCCGGACCAGAAGCATGATGGAATATTGAAGATTGTTGTTGAAACTAAGGAGAAGATATTAGAATAAAGAAACGGGTTTCTTGTGGGAGAATGAAGAAACAAGTAACTGGGTTCCTCTGTTTCTCGCGGTAGAATGTTGGAGAAGATGGTGGTAAGAGATTGGAGAAAGAAGAAAAGAATAGGGCTTCTCACTTCTCTGTTCCTCGGAAAAGAAGGCTGAAAGAGGTTATAAGGTTTCTTTCTCTGCTACCGCTTGTGAAAGAAATAATGCAGAAAGAACAGAGATCATCGGAGGTTAAACGGAACTGTCCGAATGGCAGAAAACTAGCCGTTACTGATAGGAAGATTTTAGGAAACCAGTATTTCAAGAGTCGATTTTTTGCTTGGAGCGGAAGTTTGACTCTTTGACTAACAAATTTACACGCGCCAGATTAAACCCCGATTGTGTATGTTTAAAACCCAAAAAGAAAAAAAAAAAAAAAAATTGAAGGAGCGGGAAGAAGAAATATCAGAAAATAAAAATTGGAGTTGAATAAGTTACCTGACAACAGCTTCGGCTGAGATGGAGATTACTAAAGCTTGATTGCTCCATCTGCTTCTCTGCCGTCGAAGCCTTCTACTCAAATCTCTATACCCTCTGCTTTTTCCCTCTGGATTATTTTCAATTTCAATGTAAAAGAGATGGCGAAACTGTGATGATCGAGAACCGGAAGAACTTAATGAAGCAAGCTTCTCTTGCGATGATTGTGAAACGAAACGACTATTTCGCTCCATGAGAAAGTAGGGTAGGGTTTCTTTTTCTGGATGGAATGAGGTGGTGGGTTGTGATGGGCTGTTTGCAGTTAATTACTCACGGCAGGTTTAAAGCTCTCTCTTCCTCTTTCACTGTCTCCAAAAATTAATCAAAATTTTTGTCATTCAAATAACACATCAATTGAAGTTTTTCCTCCCTATTTTATTGTTAATGAGATGACTCCTCTACTCTGTCCAAACCGACATGTTCTCTACGAGTGGCTTGTAGAAAAATTTACAAAGAAAAATCATATTATTGCATTCTCCGCTGATATTATTGCTATAGCTTCAAAAGCTACGGTCATCCCTCGTTTAAAATATTTAATAAATCATTAAATTATAATTTTTTAAAAATCAGTTTGGAGGGTCAAAAGTTAAAGTTAATAAAACAAAGTCAAATAATTTACTTGTGTATTTTATTTTAGTTAATTTGGTTTAGACCAAAATTTATAAATAATTATATTTATATTGTCTTTAGCATAGGTCAAATGTCCTTACAATAATTAGTTAAAGTATTTTCTCGTAGTGAATACAATTTGTAAATGATCGGTAAATCATTAGAATTTGCAAATTATGAATTTTTCATATGTGAAAAATATTTTTTGAAAAAAACATTTGGAAAAAACATGTATATCAACTAAAGAATCACAAAATATGACAAGTCTATTAAATTATAGATGAAAATTACATATAGTAGTATATGAAATAAAGTTGAATATCTAAAAATAAATAAAAATAGATATATAAGTTGAGATTGCCGACAAAATTTGTAGTACCGAAGAATGTCTTCGAGGGACAAAGCAAAATAAATAGCAACAATTGTTATTCTTAGTGATGGTCATGCAAAGCATAAACTTTTAATTAAGTTAATTCACTCTAAGGAAAATAATTAGTAAATCATTAGGAATTTATAAATTATGAATTTTTCACACCTCATAAACATTTTTTTAAGAACGAAAATAAATATTTCATTCAACTAAAGATGTAACTATTTTTCACACTTCAAAACTAGGTACATACACTATGAATTTTTCACACCTCATTTTTAGTTTTGAAGGTTGTCTTGAGAATGTCCTTTGTCCTGATCTTTACCTGATGGTAACCCGAGCGTAAGTTTATTTTGGAGAAGATCTAAGCACCTTGCAACTAGTCAAAAAGGTCATCGATCCTGGGGAAGGGAAACTTGTTCTTGATCGTGACCCTATTCAATCCTATGTAGTCAATACATAATCTTAACGTTTCATCCTCTTTCCTTAGAAATATGACTCCAGCACCCCAAGAAGACACATTATGTCGGATGAACCCACTATCCTGTAATTCATTGATATGTTTTCTCAGTCCTTCATCTCAACATGACTCATGCAGTAAGGGGCAACCAAGATAGGCTGAGTGCTAGACTGAAGATCTATGGTGAACTCAACTTCTCTGTCCATTAACAATCTGGGTAGTCATCAGGAAATATATTTGGAAAGTCTCAGATTACCAAGATCTTTTGCATGCAAATTACTTTCTTATGTTTGTGTATTATAGAGAAGACAACCGAGTTAAAGTACTATGTAATAAGAAAATTGCCATTAGAGAATAATATTTAAAAAATTTATTAACTTATAAAGGATTGTTCATTAGAATGGTTGAATATAAATTTCTTGTGAAAATAATATACGGTAGCGTGATACGCTGCTAACTAGCTTATACCTATAATTACATCAAATCTCTCATATCAATCTTTATTAGGTCCATACTTAATTTTCTATCTGTTATATCTTTGATACAAACTTTGTATATAACCTATTCTAGCAGTATCTTACTCCCAGAAGTAGACACAAACAATATAGAATCAAATTTTTCAGGTAATATATTCAAATTTAGTGTAGAAACATATGAGACAATGAATGTGAAGCACTAGAATAGTGTACATATCCTGTATCACGTCTAGGTTGACTTTAGTATTCTACTGAGTGAGGTTGTAAGCTTTGCCCTGAATAGGAGGTCTAGCTTTGTTATGATTTTACGGGCACTCTCTCGTGTAGTGTTGGACACTCCTACATATGTGACGTGTATTGTTGAGATAATAGCATGGTCGGTCCCCATGATCCTTATCACAGTGCTTACAAGTTCTGTTGAAGAGGAACTGGATTATGTTTGGGAGGGACCGGATAACCCTGAAGCGATGCCAGATGATACAGTGGAGGCACCGGATTGTACTGTGGGGGTGCCAGATGATACAACATAAGAACAGGGTTGTATTAGGTTGGCTCCATATCTTCCCGTTGTAAGAATGACTCAAATTATGGTAGCGGGGGAAGGTCAAACATCTCTCTTTTTTCCTCCCGGACTTACTGGGCAAAGATGAGTTTCTCCAGCATCTCAAAGAGTTAGTCAACATCCTCTTAAAATAAAATATTCTGGACTGCTCGATTTAGCGGAGGGTCTTCATCTCTTCATATCTTTGTACCTACATTTCACAAGGAATGGTTGAACGATAGTTTGTATTTGGTGCTTTTAAGTCTTTGTGTAAAGAATAGTTTTGAGGAATACGACTCTGATACCAACTGTATAAGCCCGAAACTTTAAAGAAAATAAATTTATAATTTATATGTAGAAGTGAATAATAATGTTAGGGTTTACATTTAATACACAGTAAATTAGAATGTCCAATAGAGTTAGGAAAAATTTCTTTCTAAACAACAAACAATTAATTAAAGAAAAAACGAATAAATAAACATCCTATGACAACTTTCACTAACACTTGAAGGGAATTCGAAACGTAAATTACTCACAACTCTCTTACTGATCAGAATCTGAATCTTGATTTTCTTGATATGAAATGGTTAATGACAAAGTGAGCTACACTAACCCAGTAAGAATATCACATTGATCATAAATACGGAAAACTAAAGATTGATAAAAATTAAAAAAAATAACTAATTGAGTCCTTACTTTAATTAAATACATTTGTTTGATACATACTATTACGAGTTTTTCAAAAAAACAACTTATGAATACCCATATCCATACCACTTTTTATTTTCACTCATAAGAGAACAAGAGACGACAATTTTTCTTTCTTACTTGCGTACTAGTACCCATGGGGGTTCATAAGAATGTTCTCCTACTCGTGAACACAATATCCAATTTTAACAATTAACCGGCTGTTCTCATACCCTGTCCAGTAATAAGCACCAAATACTATATCGTCTCGATACCTCGTCTGGTATAAGGGTGAATTGTATCTCCTGAACATTTATAATAAGGGACTTCTCAGCTCCTTTCGACTGAGGTAACATTCATGATATGGTTCTCTATGTACTAGACCCGTCCACACTTTTCTTGAATACCCAGTAAGTCTTTCACATAAAGATTCCTATAAAAAAAATAACCAACAAACGAATACCAATATCTCGTATTATATTTATAGATCAAATAGACAATATTTATGCAGATGATATAACTTATCATAACAAGGGATCGAATAACCAGATAATTGAATAAACAAGATAAACCGATAAGACCATAGAAACTATAAATTAAAAATATACAATAGGATAACAAGCAAGTAGGACAGTACAAGAAAATAAATAAGAAATCAGGAAAATTGTGAATTAACTGGTTCCAGCTCCACTAGTAACATGTAATTATTATTATTATTTTTTGAATTTTCTAAATTTTTACAAAACACAAAATTA